ATCTACAGCGGATCTAAATATTTATAATTAATTATAACTAGTTATGATTAAGTATTCATATTTCCTTATGAGCTGATTCGCTACAGGAAAAACAGATTTGGAGAAATTAAGCATTGCACCACTTGCTCACCAGTGGATCCTCTGCAGTGAATGGGTGCCGTCAGAATGAGAGTCCAAACAGTTGATAAAAACATCACAATAATACACACTAATTGTTTTGTGACAAAAAATAAAATTGTTTGTAATAAAAAAAATCCACCATTATTAACTTTAAACCAAGTCCTCTAATCATAATGTTTTCTCCAGTGAAAAAGTCATCTTGTCTGAATCAGGAGAGAAATATGCACAGATCAAGCAGAAGCAAAAACAGTCCTAAACAGTTCTAAACAAATATGTCATTGTATTTTGATGTAAAAGGACAACAGTGACTTTTTCACTGAAGGAACTTACAAGACATTACTGATGGACTGGAGTCTGTGGAATATTTATGGGTTACTGTGATGTTTTTATCAGCAGTTTGGACTCTCATTCTGACGGTACCCATTCACTGCAGAGGATACGTTGGTGAGCAAGTGATGTAATGCTACATTTCTCCAAATCTTTACAAGCAAAAACAGTCCATAACAAATATGTTGGTGGATTTTGATGTGAGAAGACAACAGGGAATGGGCTTTTTCACTGGAGGGAACGTTATTATGGATTATGGACTCGTATTTTGACAAGAAGCCATGGTTTAAAGTCTTGTTGGATTTTTTTCTTACAAACACACAGCTTTTCATTTCACAAGATTGTCATTTAATCGACTGGATGTGGATTATTATTATTAGGGATGCACCGATACCGATACTGGTATCGGTATCGGGCCCGATACTGAGCTTCTGTACTCGTACTCGTACTCGTTAAAATGCCCCGATACCAAACGCCGATACCACACAGCATGTGATAAGCGCCATATTCAGACAAAGAAACAAGGACAACAGAACAACAGACAGCAGAATGAAGTTATTAGAGATTAAGGATGTCTACGAAGTACATGTATGCAATGAATATAATGTTAAACATTCAAAGCCATGGTTTAAAGTCTTGTTGGATTTTTTTCTTACAAACACGCAGCTTTTCATTTCACAAGATTGTCATTTAATCGACTGGATGTGGATTATTATTATGTTTTCATCAGCTGTTTGGACTCTCATTCTGACAGCACTCACCCACTGCAGAAGATCCACTGGTGAACAAGTGATGTAATGCTAAATTTCTCCAAATCTGTTCTGATGAAGAAACAAACATCTTGGATCTACTCAAGCTACAAGCTACTCATGATCTACAGTAGCTTTCTCACCTCAAAGCATTCATAACCCATAACCGTTTAAAGCAAGAGACAGAGAGTGAGAGCTATTCTCTTGCTGGAGGATGTTGGGGGTTGTGGGATCACTCAGGGGCCAGGCGTGCTGCGTTTGAGCTGGGCTGCTCTCTAAATTTAGTCTGAAGTTTTTCCACAAGCCTCTGGTTGTCCACACCTGACACCCAGCAATAAAGCTGAGCTGTCACTGAAAGATTGATTTTATAAACTGGTATTTTAGCTACCATGCAAAGTCGTAAAAAAAGAACACATGCAAAGATGTGTGTGTGTGTACTCACAGCCCTCGTAGATATCAGTGGGAATGTGCACTGCTGTTGTACTGTATGAAACAGGGCGTTTGAAAGCAGGATCCTCTTTGAATTCTAGCTTGACGCGGTTCTGGCGTGTTTCAGTGTCATTGATGTCAAACTAGGAACATAAAAATAAGCATAAACCTCTCAAACAACAAAAAACACCTTGTTAATTTTCATTTATTTGTTGTTTAGTTCATATCCAAGCATGCATTTTTAAAAAGAAACCTTACCTTGTCCTTGGCATTGTAGTAGATGGTATCATTAACCTGTTTGACAAAGAGTGAACAAGACTTTAGTGTTTTATTATCAAAGGTTTAAATATTAATTAGGATAGTTTGGTTTCAATATGTTTTTTTTATTATTATTTATTTGTTTGTTTATTGGGGCAGTCTATTGATGTTATCTTTTTTTCTTCTTCTTCTTCTTTTTTAAATAATCATAAACATTCCAGAAAGGTTACAGGGTAGGTTTGTGCAACAACCTAATAAAAACATATACAGACAAACAAAAAAAAGTAAAAAAAAAACAAACAAAAAAAAACATGTTTTATAATGGTTATTTTTTTGTTTTATGTTTCATAATCACCTATTTCTAGTATTCTATTAATGTTCTTAGGTTTTTGTCACAATATTGATTTATATTTCATGATCACAAATTAACATTCCCATAATGTTGCAGAAATATAGGCATTTGTATAGGTATTTGCATAACGTTTTAAGTATTTCTATATTAATTTGTGATTCTCCGAAGTCAAATCTATTTTTGCAATAGTTTTCTGCAAGCTGGTTTTATATATTTAAAAATTATTATTATTATTAGTAGTAGTAGTAGTAGTAGTAGTATTTAGGAAATTAATTCAATCATGCTTATTTAAAAGAAGGCATATGAGACTTTACCTTAATTAAAATATCATTATATCATTATATCACTATCATCTAATATTATATCAATCATCAATTTATTGCATTTTTTTTTTGTCAAAGTGTCCATCTCTAACAGTATATTGAATCTGAATGTGACTGTGTATTTCCAAGTGTTTTTATTTAGCTCTCTATGTGTTCCATATGTTTGTACCTAATCTTTGTGCATTCACAAAAGGAAGTTGTTCAGTTTTTGTACTCTCACTTTCCCAGAAGTGATGCATGCTTTAGGTGTGTGTGTGTGTGTGTGTGTGTGTGTGTCCTCCCAGGGTTGTTCTCCTCGCAGTGTGAGGGCGCTGTCAGGACTAGCATTAGTGGGGCGTTAACAAGCAAGCTCACTATCTGACATACAGTTGCCTTGGAGACATAGGAGTGGATCATCACCGGCTGCCGCCACCTGTCCTACTTGCTTGCTAATCATGTGGCAGACACTCTTTTTAGGTTATAGACCACTAATCGCTGAGACATGCACATATAGGTCAGCCCTGCATGGGATCAAACTCTTGACTTTCTACCTGCATCCCATCAATAACTAAAAAGAAAACCTCTCTGTCTGTCACAACAATTGTGTCCATAACAAAGGCTTGAAGAGAAGCACCTGTTGCGACAGCTCCAGGCAGGGCAGACTTTTGAACACAAAGGCGCCCACACATTTGTTTGATTTACAGTACACACTATGAGTGTAACATCTTAACTATGAAAAATAATATAATACATTTTTTAACACGTATCATGGAAGTACCATGTAAATTAGAACCGTCCAATAACGATTTTCATATTATGGCCGATATAAATATTCAATGCTATTTTGTGTAAATAAATAAAATTACAACATAATTTGTTTTAAATGCTACTTAGTATTATCTATATACTACTATAATATTTATTAATATTTCAAATTAGCTTTTTATATCTTCAGATTTAGATTGATTTAGCTATTTTTTTATGTACGTTTGTCATTTTCATTATTATTATTTGTAAATATTTCTATTTAGCTTTATTTTTATTATGGTTTTACTTTTTGCAATTTATTATTTCAACGAATTTATTAAATGAAATTCAGTTAGTTGCAAAGCATTTGTAATTTTTATTCAACTTTTTTTTTTTTTTTTTTTTACCATTTTTCCAAATTATATTTTAACTTATTTTAGCTTAATTTAAATTACTAGAAATGTATTTAATAACAATGATCACAACATTATAATGTACAGAATTAAAAAAAATGATATTCATTTTGAGATTTGCTAAAAAAAATTGCATTTAACAATGTTTTTTTTTTATTAACTTAAAGTGAACATTAAATGAGATATCTATGCTCACTATCACATATATGTGACCCTGGACCACAAAACCAGTCTTAAGTGTCAAGCTTTCCATTGATGTATGGTTTGTTAGGATATGACAATATTTGGCTGAGATACAACTATTTGAAAATCTGGAATATGAGGGTGCAAAAAAATCGAAATATTGAGAAAATCGCCTTTAAAGTTGTCCGAATGAAGTTCTTAGCAATACATATTACTAATCAAAAATGACGTTTTGATATATTTACGGTAGGAAATTTACAAAATATCTTCATGGAACATGATCTTTACTTAATATCCTAATGATTTTTTGGCATAAAAGAAAAATCGATGATTTTGACCCATACAATGTATTTTTGGCTATTGCTACAAATATACCCCAGCGACTTAAGACTGGTTTTGTGGTCCAGGGTCACATATTACTGTGGCAAGTCACCACTGGTTGTGATAATCTGAATCTCCATATATCTCCCTAATATTCAGATTAAAACCACTGATTAAACATGTTTTGAAACTTTTTGAGTTAAAGTTTTTTAAAAGCATTTTAAATAGCGAATCTCCCCTCTAGTCTGATTCAGAAATGAAATATTTCTGCGCTACAAATTTTGATAACTCATTCAGACAATACTTGACTGACAAATCTATAACCAGACAACCAGACATCACATCCATTTCTCTGCAAATTAGAATTGATATTTCAGTCCGTGGGAACCTGAAATGCATCAATACCAGATACCACAGACGCAAGGTCTGAGACCAGGATGCCAACATTTTCTAACCCAACTGATTATCTCACCATCTAAATAAGGTGATGACGTGTGTAAATGTGTCCGGTATCTGTTCTTATCCAATAAAGGACTGATTGAAATATGCCCTGGCAAAAGTTTCACAGCCTTATTTCTTCCACCTGTGTGTGTGTGTGTGTGTTTCAGAGTGTTTACAACCATGTGTTGAATGTGTGAAGCATTACATCAAGATCATCCTTCCACTGGTGCTCCTTCTGCAGGTTCTCCGCAGCCGTCGCCAGCGCCTACAAACACAAGGAACGAGACCAAAGTGTTAAAGAATGCATTGATTTTTTTTAAAGAAATTAGTTTTAGAAATTAATTTAGGATGCATTATATGCTTTGCACCACTGCTTTACATTTGATAATATATTCAAATAGAAAAAAGTTATTTAAAATTTTAAAAATATTCCACAGTATTACTGTCTTTACTGTACTGTCTTTATATGCCTTACTGAGCAAATAAAAACAATGAACAATCTTGCTGACCCCAAACTTTTGGTATAGAGTATACTGTAATGCATATAAATCACCATCTTATGTGATCATCTATGTAAGACAGTTGAGCTTCATTGATTTTCTCAAACTTAATAAAAGAGCCTCAGAACCAAACGTTAACATCCAGACACTTTATAACACCAAATAAATGCATTAACATGACAGAGTTCCAATACAATTGGCAATTTATTTATCATTCAGTCAACAGTTGGTTTTAATGAAGGAAAATGAAGCTCAGCTTTAAACCTCATATCAAACGGTTGAGGAGACACATTTTTCTCAGACTGACCTGCATTCAGCCTTTACTCCAGATTCTCTGCCTATGAGAAAATCCCTCAGTGACGGCAAACTAAATTTAGACAGCAGCTCAGGTCCAGTCCAGGTCTCCTCAACTGATTAGGTTAATAACAGTATAATGGCATCATTTTTTAATCTGGTCTGTACTAGAAACTCACGGTACGCCTAATTTCCCCTGGGAACTTTCACATCCCATTCCTGTAACTTGTCCCGGAGCCTTTCTCTTTATGTATCTTTATTTTTATTTTTTTATTTTTTGTTTTTATTGGCTTTTAAATGAGATTGAAGATTATCAGTAACCAGGGGACTAAAAGCAAATTAAGAAATTCTCATTTGATGCTCACCGCTAGATATGAGTTGGAGAAACGTTGATCAAATAAACAGTTGGTTTCTCATTTTCTGGAAATTTAGAATAAAGGCTGAAACTTAATGGTGTTTTAGGGTTTAGTGCAGAAATCATGGTGCAACTAACAAACATAAATGTAAAACAGGAAAAATGGTCACACTTTATTTTAAGGTCAAATTCTCGCTATTAACAAACCATCAACTATGACTTTTGCCTCAATATATTCCTAATTTGCTGCTTATTAATTGTAAGTAAGGTAGTTGTTAAGTTTAGGTATTGGGTAGGATTAGGGATGTAGAATATGGTCATGCAGAATATGCTTTATAAGTACTAATAAACATCCAATATGTTAATAATAGTCATGCTAATAACGAGGACATAAATACATGAACAACATATCCAGAACTGCTCTGAGAGTCACTTCATGAGCATTTGACCGTTTCATTTGAGTAAAACTATCCCCATATCATATCCATGCAGAAATGTAAAGGTATTCACAGCAACCCGTCAAAATAAAAGTTCAGTTTAACTTGACATTAACTTAACATTGCAGCAAAAATATATTACTATTGTTCAGTAGAATGTATGTAATAGGTTACTACTACAACTAAAATTATTAAAACCTTATTTTTAAGGAATAATCATACAATATTTCTTCAGTGTTTTAATTGTAATATTAAATCCCCTTTATTTCCCCCAAAAATTTAATTTAATTTACATTAATTAGAATTATTAATTAATTATTATAATTAAGATAAATTAAATGAATGTTTTATGCCTTAAAAATGTAAATACACAACACAGAATTTCTGAGGGGAAAAAAATCATAAGGCTATTGTAAGAATAAATGAAACTTAAGGTTTGAAAAAAAAAAAACATTTCATAGGGCCCTAAACATGTAATTTTTGTTAAACTTTTAATAAATTGATGTTAAATTGTTTAAGTTTAGAAACCCCCAAGTTTTGAAAGATGACATTTATTTTGAAAGCTGAAGCTCGCGATTATGGTAAGGGGCGTTACATTTCCGACGAGTGATTGCGGTGTTCGGCCAATCACAATGCACTGGGTCAGCTGGCCAATCAGAGCAGACTGCGCTTGTCGGAAGGAGGGACTTTGTAGAAAACGAAGCGTTTGAGAGAGGCGGGGCATAGAGGACCTACAATAATGTAAAGTATTTGAAAAATAATGTGTTTTTGGAACATTAAAGCATGTCAACATATTCCGTTACACCAAATACACAAAATAATGATCTTTAAAAAAAGCATCATATGACCCCTTTAAAACAGTTTTTTTTACTTTAAACCGCATAAACACATTTCATTACACCAAATACACAAAATAATGTTCTTTTTAGCAGCATCATATGACCCCTTTAAAAAAGCATCATATGACCCCTTTAAAGAAAACCCCATGTTTCTCTTTGCTAATTACAATTTGCCATTGTTGTGCCATTCATGTGACCTTCATAAGATGTTTCTGACATGACTTGAAGGCAGCAATAAAACATTTAAAACATCAGCTTGATATCACCGCTGCCAGAATAAATGACATCAGAAGAGCATAAATGCCACTAAAGCTAATTAAAGCCAACATAAGCACATCTTGCATAATGGTGAAACCGCTTTGAAGGCTTTTTTATGCTGTAGGGACATAGTGGAATTTCAGAGTTTTGTGATCTTAATCCACACAAAAGGTTCACCGGAGTCTCCCCATTATAATAAGACTAAAAATACAGTTTTTTTAATCACTTAATCCTCCAGGGGAAATGAACAAATAAGTGTAACGCATGGCTAGATGATGAAACCTCTCCACCCACTTCAGACATCCCATAATAACATTGACCCCAGGGTCTACGCACTCTGATGAGCTGTTGCCATAACAACCCCAGTGGCATGGTCGCATTAGGACTGGGGTGTGTGTTTGTCTTAGTGCTGGCCCCTACTGTCACACAATCCAGGAAGGACATCCCAATCTGCATGGCAAGAGCCTTGATTTTCAGAGAAACATGTCTCATCTCGGACTGATCAGGGTCATCGCTAAAATTCACAGGGTCTGGAACAATGTTTTTGTGCGTGGGCCCCTCTTCCATGTGAGAAAGGTGATACTATAGAGCTGTAAGGGCCCACCAGGAGGCTTCAGCAAACAAAAAAATGTATTACAAAAATATTTTTAAATTTAAAAATATTTATTGATTGATTGACTGACTTATTAATTGATTGATCAATTCATTCATTTAGCTCCGTTTCTTCCTTCAACTCTCTGGGCTTTAGGTTATACAGTCTCTCTCCTTTGGATTATTTGAATTTTTATTTTTTAATAAACTAAACCTAAGTAACCCTACACTTCATTCATTCATCCATTCATTCATTCGGCTCTGGGTTATCTATAAGTATAAGGTGTCTCACCTTTGGATTATTAGATTTTTTTTTTATATAACTAAACCTAAACTTCATTAATTCATTAATTCATTCAAGTTGTCTCTCTTTTGGATTATTTGAAGTATTATTTTTAATAAAACATAATGTTTTTTTGGATTGTTTTGTAATGAACTAAACATTTATGTACAGTATGTATGCATGTATTTATTTATTTATTTATTTAAATCTAACCTCAATTTCAAAGTAAAACATGTAAACTGACATCATATTTCTTATGTAGACCCTTTACAGTTTCAAATGATATTACTCTTCTCTCTGCAACCCAAAATCAAGTTTTTTTTTTAGTTCTTTTGACTGTTATCAAGAAAAAATGCAACTGAACACACCAGCGTGTTCCCTGACCTCAGAGGGTTAAATTTCTCCCATCAGCAATTATTTTTATTGAAGAACATACACTTATTAAACCTATGCTATTATGTTTCTGTCAATTAAAAAGCTGAAACAAGCAACGTTTTCACCAGTACTGCACACCGAAAACAGTAAGACATCCCTCTGACATACAGTATGTGCATATAATCCATCTCCCAATCCCCGTTTATCAATCCAGTACATAATTAGACTCTCTTCTCACTGTTTTTGGAACTGAAAGTTATTATTATTAATAATATTTACAGTAATTCACCTAAGCACAGTGTAAGGTTAAAGGTCAGACCTGTATCAGCCATAATGAGGCTAATAACACAATAATAAGGGAAATCCCAGGTGACTGTTCTACTAATGTATGCAGAGAAGCACAAGAGATCAAATCTTTAACAGCTCTTTTTGAGCACCGCACACACTCGCATTATGCATTAGTAGCTAATTAGTCAGTCTTGTACAGCAGCTCTCATGTACAAACAACTGATGTGCAGAGCATCACTGTACATGCTGAGAACACAAACATCTGCTGCTCCTGTCTATCTAGCCTTTAATTCCCAGAATACTTAGCAAAAAACAAGAAGACATAAAAAAACTATAGGGAATCAACAAATGACTAACGCACACACATATGTTCACACATGAACAAAACTGGGGTTATACATGCCCTCTGGCTAGCATAATTACATGACTAATTACAGCGATAATTAAATAATATATATGTAGATTCTGCTTTGATGAGGGCATTTTAACATTAAAGAAAAGTAAAACTCTACTCAGAACATCCAGTTCATTCATTCTCCGTCGATTAAAAGAAAACTACCAGGCGTAGGTGTCTCTGTAACAGCCCGACATTCACCATTAAATAAGCCACATTTTGTTGGGCCTTGACAAGCTCTTCAAAAGTCAGCCAATTGCCCTTTGAATCCTGCCACAGTGTTGAGGGATGATGGAAGAATTGGCGTGAAATGCTGCAGGGTGGATTTGTCATGTCTCCCTGCTGTTGCGAATGTGTGTCATTTAGCTCAGTTAGTTTAACAGGATCTGACTTCTCTTTTTGTCTCTTTTTTGTTTATTGTTTTCTTATTTCAACAGCTGCTAAATATAATGTACAGTATTCTCTGTAACAACTGCATTATAATATAAAATGAAATAAGTACTAAAAAGAACACTACAAAAGCATAATAAAATATTAAACAGCACATCTGTTTTCATCATTTATAATAACACGAAATGTTTCTTAATCACCATATCAGCAGATTGATTTGTGAAAGACCATGTGACACCGAAGATTGCAGTAATGGCTGCT